CAGCCAACACAAGTGAATTTTAAGATCTTAGTTCCAGTTCTTCTATTAATTAGCCATCTGATCTTGGACAAGTTGTAATGCTTCCATGCCTAATCTCTAAATGAAGAGGTTGAACTAAAATGATCTGTTCTACTAATAGCTCTAACATTCCAAGATATAGCCTACATCAGAAATTCTGTGCTCAAAGTGTTACGTGGGCTGTTTATCTGTAATGTGATCAGCATGACTAGCGGAGAGTAATACAACTATGTTATGTTCTAGCCAAATGAACTTCAGCCAAACAAAACTTGTTCTATTCAAATTATGAATCAAATTTTTCATATACAATCAGATTTTGAAAGACATTAATTGGGCATGTAAAATCAAATTTGAGCTAACATCTGAACCCAGGTTGCCATATGTACACATACATATACATATCTTTTATCTTGACATATTAGTGTTAAAATGTATATTTACTTAGTAGTTATAAATACTAAAAATCAAAAATACTCTTAAACATTAAAAATAAATAAAGGTAACATTTTTCAGGAATGTAAACCTAAAATCTGAAGATAATCATGAGAATATTTTCAAATTTTTAAAGAAATTTGTTTTCTCTGTTATATATTATAAATAATGTTATAATCTCTAGAACCTTTAATTCATTTTTTGGATACCTATCTACACATGTACTACATGTGCCCTAGCAATTAATAAAAAAAAATCTGACCACTGTGAAGAAAAATTTGAAGATAATACTTTTCTGTTTAGCTTATTAGTGAACTGGTAATTTACCTACATTAATTAATAAATGAGTAAATGTTATATCAATTTTTTAATTTATAAGAAATTTCTTATACCAATAAGGCAGGGTATATAAATAGTTTATGATTAACAAAGATTTTATTTAAAAATTACACTGAGAATATAATCATAAAATGAAAATTAAGCAGTAATTAAATTAGTTATTCCCTTCTTTGTAGTAGATATTAGCTTGTGTGTACCCTTTTGTAAACATATTACAATTGACCCTTGAACAACACAGGTTTGAACAATGTGAGTCCACTTCAATGCAGATTTTTTTCATTCAAAGGCAAATGGAAAATACAGTCAGTATTCACAGGATGCAAAACCCATGTATATGGGTTTTCATATATGCAGGTTCTATGGAACTGACTGTGGATCTTGAGTGTGCATGGGTTTTGGCACATACTGGGGAAGGTAGGTGGGGAGAGGAGTCCTGGAGCCAATTCCCCTCACATACCAGGGGACAACTATACTTATATCTAAAGGCATAGATTTTGGACAATGTCAATCTACTTTTTAAAAGAAAACAAATTAACAAAATTAGGAACTATTTGGTTTATAACTTAAGTGTACACTAATTTAAAGAGCTAATTGTTGGTTAATACGCTAAGAGTTCTGTGCCAGGACTAGCTTTCACCAAAAAGAAGTTTGTTGAAAGCCAGCGTACACGGTGGCTGAGGGCATGGGATCAGAGGCTGTCTGCCTACAGTGAATCCCAGCTGAGCCACTTACTAGCTGTGTTACTCTGGGCAAGTTTCACAGTCCCTTTGTTCCTCAATTTCCTCATAGGAAAGCAAGAAAGAGATACTAAAGTCTATTTCATAATACTAGATATTGTGACACAGAGATACCAGTGCTCACTTCATGAGAGTGTTGTGAGGATTCAATGAGCTAATATGTGAAAACTGCTCACTTATTTTTCAAAGTATGGGTTTAGGGTACAAAATAGAGTTAGTAAGATAGATAGAATGAACAGTGACTATGGTGAACAGTAAGTTATGGTACACTTTAAAATAAATAAAAGAGTGGAACTGGAATGTTCCTAACACAAAGAAATGATAAATGCTTGAGGCAATGGATACCCCAATTACCCTGATCCGATTAACATAAATTGTATGCCTGTATCAAAACATCTCATGTACCCTTATAAATATATATAACTATTATGTAACCATAACAATTAAAAATAAGAAATTTTTGAAAATTAAAGTACAGGTTTAAATGTTTACAATATATTTATACTCCAAAAAAATTTCATATGGTAACATTTCTAACATGAAGACTTAATCCAACAATTAAACTTTCCATCTGAAGTATAAAACAGAAAATTAACTCATTAATTTGCAAAATGTCTTGTTTCAGACTTTAGTAAGTACACAAAGACATCTGAGACAAGCCATACATACAGGCATACCTCGTCTGATTGCGCTCGGCTTTATTGTAATTTACAGATATTATGCTTTCCTCAAAATAAAGGTTTGTAGCAACCCTGCATTGAGCAAGCCTACTGGTGACATTTTTCCAACAGCATGTGCTCACTCTGTCACATTTTGGTAATTCTTGCAATATTTCAAACTATTTCATTATTATTTTATCCCCTATGGTGATCTGTCATCTCTGATGTTACTAACATAATTATTTTAGGGATGTCACAAACCACGCCCACATAAAATGGCAAACTTAATAAATACTGTTAGTGTTGCGAATACTCCACTGACCAGCCATTCTCTCGCTCCTCAAGCCTCCCTATTCCCTGAGACACAACAATATTAAAATTAGGCCAATTAATAACCCTACAATGATGGTCTCTAACTGTTCAAGTAGAAAAAGAGTCGTCGCTCATAAACTGGCGACTTTTGATTTACAACTTTAAACCAAAAGCTAAAAATGAGGTTAGTCAAGAAGGCCTGTCAAAAGCTGAGATAGGCCAAAAGTTAGGCCTCTTGTGTGAAACAAAGTTGTGAATGAAAAAGAAAAGTACTTGAAGGAAATTAAAAGTGCTACTCCAATGAAAATACAAGTGATAAGAAAGCCAAACAGCCTTACTGCTGATATAGAAAAAGATTTAGCAGCCAGGATAGAAGATCAAATCAGCCACAGCATTCCCTTACACCAAAGCCTAATCCAGACAAAGGCCTTAATTCTCTTCAATTCTGTGAAGGCCAAGAAGTGAGGAAGCTGCAGAAGCAATACTGGAAGCTAACAGAGGTTGGTTATTGGGTATAGGAAAGGAGCTATCTCTGTAACATAAAAGTAGAAAGTGAAGCAGCAAATGCTGACGCAGAAGCTATAGCAAATTATACAGAAGATCTAGCTACAATAAGTTGATGAAGGTGGCTACGCTATACAACAGATTTTCAATGCAGACAAACAGCCTTCTATTAGGAGAAGATGCCATCTAGCACTTTCATAGCTAGAGAGGAAAAATCAATGCTTGGCTTCAATCCTTCAAAGAACAGGCTGACTCTCTTGTCAGGGGCTAATGAAGCTGGTGACTTTAAGTTGAAGCCAATGTTCATACCCCATTCTGAAAATTCCAGCGCCCTTAACCACTTTGGTGCAGTGCTCACTGGCTGCGAAACCTTGCCCATAGCCGGCACTCACAGTCTGCATGATAGTTTGTGCTGTGCATTGATGACAAATCCATTTTGCTCTTGGTGTGATGAGGAATGCTTTAAAGCACTAAAAGTTTGTTTTACTTTACAAGCAGCTTTACTCGTACTGTAAAGCAGAATAGGTTACATATACATATATGTTTTCATTACGTTATTTTTAAATGTTCACAATTTTATTTTGATAAATGAAAAATCAGAAAAGTCATATCATGGCTGTCGGCTAAAGTCGATGCTTGGCTGTGTGCGTTCATCTGTGGCTGTCGACTATAGTTGACGCTCGTACCGAAGTGGTCAAGAAGTAGTTAACTCTACTCAGCCTATGCTCCATAAATGGAACAATCAAGCCTGGGTGACAGCACATGAGCTTACAGCACAGTTTACTGGCTATTTTAAGCCCACTGCTGAGAACTACTGATCAGAAAAAAGCCTCCTTTCAAAATATTATTGCTCTTTGACAATGCACCTGGTCACCCAAGAGCTCTGATGGAAATATATAAGGAGATGAATGTCGTTTTCATGCTTGCTAACACAACATCCATTCTGCAGCCCATGGATCAAGGAGTAATCTCAACTTTCAAGTCTTTTTATTTAAGAAATACATTTCACAAGGCTACAGTTGCCATAGATAGTCACACCTCTGACAGATCTGGGCAAAGTCAATTGAAAATCTTTTGGAAAGGATTCACCAGTCCAGATACCATTAAGAACATGGGAGAAGGTCAAAATATCAACATTAACAGGAGTTTGTAAGAAGTTGATTCAAGCCCTAGTAGAAGACATGGAGAGGTTCAAGACTGCAGTGGAAGTCACTGCAGAGGTGGTGGAAATAGCGAGAGAACTAGAATCAGAATGCAACCTGATGATGTGATTGATTACTATAATCTCACAATAAAATTTTAACAGATGAGGAGTTTCTTCTTATGGATAAGCAAAGAATGTGGTTTCTTCAGATATGGAATTTACTCCTAGTGAAGATGTTGTGAACATTGTTGAAATGACAACAAAGGATTTAGAATATTACATAAACTTAGTTGACAAAGCAGGGTTCGAAAGAACTGACTCTAATTTTCAAAGAAGTTCTATTGTGGGTAAGATACTATCAAACATCACATGCTACAGAAAAATCTTTACTGAAAAGAAGAGTCAATCATTGTGGCAAATTTCATTGTTGTCTTCTCTTAAGAAACTGGCATAGCTACCCCAACTTTCAGCAACCACCACCCTGATCAGTCCCGTAGCCATCAACACTGAGGCAAGACCCTCCACCAGCAAAAACTTTAACTCACTGAAGGCTTAGATGATCTTCATCATTTTTTGGCAATAAATTATTTTTAAATTTAGGTATTTATTTTTTACATAGTGCTACTGCATATGTATGCATACACTACTGTACTACAATATAGTGTAAACATAGACTTTTACATTCACCAAGACGCCAAAAAAAATAGTGGGACATGTTATTGCAATATTCGCTTTACTGCAGTGGTTTGGAACAAAACCCGCAATATCTCCAAGGTATGCCTGTATACTAAAATTAGTCACCCTGTGATTTCTTTTTTAAGAAAATAAAACTTTCAAAATTAAATCTGGACATACCTCTAACATTAATTGTGTAAACTCTTCATTACTAAGGAATGTAGGTTTCCAGTCCTGTCGAATTTCACTAGCATCTGACTGTGCAGTGATTTCTGTAAACAGATGGACACATTAGTGGCATACTCCAACCACCAGTGGAGTACAAAAGTCCTACAAGTCGCCTTCTCTCTTCCCACTCTAACTAAAGCTGAGAACCATAGGCAGTAACATTTACTGGTCTGGATATCAAGAGTCCAGGTTTGGGTACGATAAAATACTCGAGTTAATGTGGCAAATCTTACGTTTGGTCTCTTGGTAATACTAGTCTCCTGGGTTTCTCTCTGGGGAGCCAGGATAGCCTGTGTTGCTGACAGGCCTGAGACTGCTTCCTATCTGACACAGTGACCAAACAACAACCAGAAAACGCAGATTAGATCAAGTTTGTGGCCAAGCTTTTTAAAGAAAGTCTTTCTTCTCTTCCTTTCCTTGCTATTCAAATGGTAATACCTACAGAAGAGATAAGGAAATGAACCTGGTGGAAAGGGGCCAAAGAGGCCAGTCTGCTTTCAACAAGACTTTAGGCCTGCCTAATGCTGGGCAAAAAGATCCCTCCAAATTCTGGGTGCTCTATCTTAATTAAATCAAGGAGACTCAATATTTTGAGTAAAAACTTTATAGTAATATTCCCAGAGTGATTTTGTGTAGCGTCCCCTTTGTGTATGTTATTAGTGGTAGAGAGCTGGTCAAAAATTTGGAGATCCCTGGCCTGGGACACATATTTTGTCATTCTTATTACTATTTTATTTTGCTACACACTTCTAATAGATTTAGTTATGGGAAAGCTATTCATAAATGATGAAATCTGAACTGCCCAGGTAGCATTTTTAAATGCAGACATATTAAAACAACCAGGCAAAATAAAAATCTATGTCACAGAATATATTCCACAAAATATACTGTACTTTGTAGTAAAAAGTATGGACTAAGTTGTTTTGATTTTATTGTCAGGTATATAAATACACTGTATTAAACTGCCACCCAAAATTTAGCATATAAGAAATGCCTGTGCTGGAATATGAACAGTAAGAAGAGTTACTAAATCTGTGGAATATAGTCATGCCTTTCAAATTCACACCAATTACACACATTTGGGAAATGGATTTAAATCCACAAGCAACTCCAAATCAAGTTTAATTAAACACAGGCCTATTTGAGAGTAAGTATACAAGAATTCCCTTTTACCTTAACATAAATATTATTTTGTGAGAATTATATATCCAATTTTGGAAAAAATATCCACTTACTGCAAAAACTCATCCTCTATTGTTGGGGGAAATGCATACATTTCGTTTCATTTCATTCAACAATCATTTATTGAACTCCTAGTGTCTAAGGGACCGATTTCAATGAGTATGACATCTAACATGGGGCACTGAGGTTAGTGAGAAAACTATCTGTAGAGGTAAAATGTAATAATATTGGTGGCAATAAATATTAAGATAAGCAATTTTGACACATTTACAAAAGAATCAACAGAATTTGGCAACTATGATATGGTATTAAGGAAGATGAAAACCATTCTAAGGTTTTTTCACATTTGAGTCCTGGGAGACTAAAAGGATGGTGGTATAAAAACGAAAAACAAAAGGCAAGTTAAGAAAAAGAAGTGACTTGAAAAAATGAAAATGAATTCAGTTTTAGATGCATTGAGTTTGAGAACATGCAAAAGAAAGATCTAGAAGTTATCTGGAAATACTAGGCTAAAAAGTTTGCATCTAAAAATAGAGATCTGGTAGTTTAATAGAGACACAATAGCTGAAGCTATGGAATGAGATAACCAAGAAAAGGCGTGTAGAGAAAGCGAGAGAACAAGGATAAGACTGAGAAACGTCACATTTAGAAGGCAGAAAGAGAGGAAAGAAGTTAGTTTCAGATAGAAAAGGGGAAATGAAAGTGCAATACAACGGAATGCAAAGGGAATAAAAATCAAGGGAGGATAGATCAGAATTTCCAGTGTTAGAGAGATAAGAAAAAGTTATTGCTCTATTGGGGGGGGGAGGAGTTAATATCATTAGTGAAATTAACAAAACTAATTCCAATGAGTGGTGAAGCATAAACAGTCTGGTAAGGCATTACCAAGTGAGCCAGGGAGAAGTACAGAAACTAGTTACTAAGTGTCCTTCTGAGGTCTGCATTTTCACTTGTCTGAAAAAAGAAATGTCCTTTTACAGGTTTTTTAATCTATTACCTCTGTTAACCAAAATATTTAATATTCTTTACATTTTCTTTTCATGGCTCATTTAGTCAAGGCTATTTTGTTTAACAAATACTTCATTTAATACATAGTATTACTTAGATATACATTGAAACAATATTTTAAAATGACATATAAGACCCTTATATGATCCTGTTCTAGCCTATCTTTCAAATATACCCATAACTTTCCAACAAAAACATGCTCCAGTTTACAATGAAGTCTCCCTGCTTCTCTGATTTTGCACATATTTCCTCTGTATGAAATGTCTTCCTTACTTAATCTAAAAGACTCAGATGAAAGATTCAATTATTTTAAAGCTTTCTCTGACACATTTTTCCTCTGTATTCTCCGTTGTAAGTTCATGGTTAACAAACTCTACTCACACTGTAATTATTTGTTTTATCATTATGTGCTTACATATTTGTCTCCCCTGGCTTGACTTACTTGAGAGCCAGGACTGCTACCCTTGCATCGTGAGAATTTAGGATACAGTAGGAACTAAATAAATGTTTGTTGAATGAAAGAAAGAACATACTTAAGAAATCTTTTAAATGGCAGTTATAAAAGCTGATGAAGCCATCCAATCTTAAGCATCTCTGTCAAGATTCTTTGAGAGTCTGTTATTAATAAACACCACCCATTTTACAAAGTTAAAAATTTACCTTTATGCTTTCGTAAAAAATCAATGCTTTTCTGCAGAACAGTGGATTTGTCCATCTTTCTAGCATTACCAGGAAGCATGGATCCCAGCTCTTTAATGAGAACATTAAACTGATCTCTACGTTTCTTTTCAGATTTGTTTCTAGATACTCTGATGAAATAAGAAATTAAATAATCAGTTTTTAAACAATCCATGTAATTAACACAAATAATTTAATACATTGCTAATTTGGACATGACACAGAATATACTTCTGTCAATACAGATAACAAATACTCCTAGGTTACAAATATTTCCTAGGTTATCAACAATATACAGTTAATTTGGGCAATAATTTTTCATCTCAGTTTAACATCACTAAAGAAACTTTTACATATCAAGTATTTTACATACATGCCAATAAGACAAACTGCATTCAAATCATAGGTTTTAGTCTAATATTTACCAATTATTATAAACTTGTAAGATTATAAATATTGATATATTTTGTGAAAGTACATATGATATATAAGTATGAATTATTAAAAATTGTTGAATAGAAGAAAGTTATCCATCTAATGTAAGTTTTAAGTCAACAGAAATCTAAAAATGAAATTCTATTCCCAAGGTTACTCATTCATTCTTCCTTTATACCCCTACATCCTAGCCTCCAACATAGAGTTGTAACCATTTGTTTGCATATCCGGCTCTCCATTAGGAGGTAGGCCCCTTGACAATAGAGCACCAATTTTTTCACCTAAGCACTTATCCATAAAGTCTAACTAACAGCAAACATTCCAAATATGCGTACTAATAATTACTGCTATTGTATGTGAAGCACTAGTCTGTAAACAAAGGGCTCCTCAGACAAACTCAATTGTTTACAAAGCAATTAATCATTTTATAATACCATTAATTATCTGCTTCAAAACAAAGCAAAATACTTTTCCAAAAGGTCAGAGGATATTTTATTTAATTTATAAACTGTATACCAATATTCTAATCTCTTCTATCTTTCTAGTATATCTAAATTCTTATTCAGATAGTTTTGGGAAATCATTAATTTACTATTACATTTATTATACATTTTTTACTATTTTACATCTGTAATCAAACTACCTTTTTGCTTTGTCCTTGTCATCTTCTTCAACCAACCCATCAAAAATACTACTGTCATCTCTAAAAGAAAAAAAAGTCAGTAGAAAAATTAAGAGCAGGCTCAGTAAGCAAGAGCAATACTAAAATGACATGTAAATCAACTCAGTTATATCCTAGGGTTTTTATAAAGTCAATAGATTATATAAATTCAAACTACTAACCTGTTTTCTAGTAAGTATTAGAAAATCAAAGTTTAACTGTATTTATATTTCTAAAAGTTTATTACATATATAAATTTTAAAAGTATTTACACTTAGCTATACTATGTATACAACATGCTAAACAATTTAATTTAACCAGTTTAAATATCTTGTTTCAAATATTTAGTAGTGAAAACCTACAGAAATTCAGTGTATTTGCCATTATATAAAATGATTCACTTGAAATTACTTTTATTAACTCTAACAGTATAATTAAAATTTTTTCTGAGACATTCACTTTATAAAACCACAAATTACTCATTAACAATATCTAGCACATTATCTTATATTAAAACATCTCATTCATTTACTAATTCATTTGACAAGTATTTATTAGCACTCATGTGCCAGGCTCTGTCCCGGATATGATTACAGAGCAGTGAACAAGACAGCTGCTCTCTCCTGTAGATTTATCTTTAATGAAAAAGAAAGAAAAAGAGAGTATATAATCTTAATTTTTTAAAAAAAAATAAAAGAAAAAAAAAAAAAGACAGCTGCTCTCATATAGCTTATTTTCTAGTGTAAGAAACTAAACGTGAAAATGTGTGATTAGTTCTAATTTATTAAAAGGGGTGATTTTTAGTTAGCAGATAGTTACTTTAGTCTGAGTGGTTAGGGGAAACCTTGTTGAGGTGGGAACATTTGAGCTGAGATCTAAGTGACAACAAGTGGCTGGCTACAGGAAGATGTAAGGAGAGAACATTATAACAAAAAGAAATCGAAAGCACTGGTGCCTGACTCCTTAAACTGAGAAGCCATAGTAAATAGTTTCCGGTGATTTATGAGCTTTTACATGAATTCACTATTAACTCCTTTAGCCACAACTTTTGGTGACCTATAAAGGCCTATAACCTATAAAATGGAACTCATTATTGAGATCATCTGCATTACTTTTTACCCACACAGGTCCATGTATGGACTATTGGGATTCTGTACGCTCTAAAATTTATGAAAAATTTTATGTATATCTGCATTTTTTTTTTTTAGGAGAGAGTTGGTAACTTTATGACATTCACAGAGTTAAGGAATCACTGCTTTATGTCTGAACACACAGACATCATCCCTAGATGTCATATGGTCTAGAATGGGAGTTGGTAATCATTTAGAAGTCCAATGCCAAAATCATGTTTTATCCCTGGAGGGTGGTGACAAAGTATTCTTTCTGAGGGGAAGACTACTATAGGACTACTATAGATCCCACCTGCAACTATGGCATAGTCTAAGGAAATTTCTTGTCCCTCAAGTCTTAAGTTCTGGTTAGGGTATATATCTTTACCGTTTAGCTCACAGAAAAGGAGGAGAGCTGCTCCCAGGTGTCAAAAGTCATCTCTGTGTACAAATCTAGCGCAAAACTCTTAAAGAATCCCCTGTGGATGATGACTCACACAGTACAGTATAATAGAAGCACAGTAACTTTAATGTCAGACAGACCAACATAGGTCTCATCTCTTACTAACTACGTGACTTTAAACAAGTTATTTAACCTCTCTGACCCATGATTTCCTCATCTGTAAAATCTTATGGGATCATTATGAGGTTAAATAAAATAACATAAAAAGTATTCTGTATATTTATTCACTGTCAAAAAGTAGGTGTTTAAAAAATGTACTGTATTACATCAAATTTAAGATGCTATTGACTATTAAGACTCACCACTATTTTACGTGTCCCTAGAAAGAAAAAGTGCTACCAATTAAATTATATGACAAGCCAATTAAAAGACCCAGCTAATGTCAGAGATGTTAAAATGTAAAAAAACACAGAAAATTTAGAGTCTTAAAAATCAAAGAAATAAGGATATTCATCCTTTTCCCAAGAGTAAGATTTAAAGATTACAATTTTAACTAATGAAATTCTAATTATAGTTACTTCTTTCTCAGTCACAAATGCTAAAATGCTTGAAAGGATGAAGTTAGCACCAAGAGATAAGGAGAAAAAGGACTCTAGAAGGTGCCAAGAAAACATCTGTAACTGTTACAATTTCTTTCAGAGAAGCTATGGCCAAATCATTCAAAAGTACAGCTCAAGAGCCATTTAAAACACAGCCAGTCTGTTACTCTGCCTGCAGAAAATATTGATGTGCCTTACTCTTACACCACGTTTGTTCAATACAGAAACTGAATTTAATAGTAATTATGTTCTATCTATTTGATATAGACCATTATTCTAGCAGTGAATTTTTAAACAGCTTTATATAATTCAAAATAAGTCTCTAAAAACATACCTGTCAACAATCGAGCTCATTTTACTACAGCTTACGGTAAACAACATAACATATTACGTTTTCTTCTTGTGGTAGACATTTGTACTTCTCCTTAAATGAAAACAAAAATAAATGGTCATTAGTTTTCTAAAAAGCTTACTTTTACAAAGTTTTCTTGAGAAATGCCACATGTTATCATAGAGACTTCAAAATGTTTTGTTTGTACCAAAAGCTGGAACATTATTTTCAAGCATATATCTTTAGCTGAGGTACATTTGGGGGCTTTTTTTCTCCTTCTAAAAGAAGACTACAGAAAAAAAAATTCAGTTTCTTAATTCACCTTCTACTATAAAATAATCAAAAGGGACATTCTTAATAGTCAATAAATAAATTTGACTATGTAACTGTAATACTGTCTATTCAGCAATAAAATATATGTCGAAAGCCTATTTTCTGTTAAATAGTATGGCGGGCTTTGGGAACATGAGAATAAAAGACAATCCCTGTAGGCACAAATTTGCAAATGAGCAGAGAGATAGATAGCTAAATCATTATTAGAGGTATAATGAGGGTACATACTATGTAATAGCATCACTGGGGAAAGGAACAATTAAGTATACCATGGGAATTGGAGAGGATAGTCAAAGGAAACATTCTTGATGACAATGAGTCTGTGGAGTCAAGATTCTTGTTATTATTAATATGGTCCAGAGACCAGCAACATCAGCATCCTCTGAGAGCTTGTTAAAAGGTGAAATCTTGGGTCCTCCCTATCCTAGTCCTACTGAATCAGAATCTACATTTTCCCAAGGTTCCCATGTGATAATAACGTGTAATATTTGAGAAGCACAGACTAGAGGACAGAAAGAGGGAAATAATTGAAAAGATTCTAAACTACAGCAATTTGCAAAGGTACAAGACTTAATGAGATAAGAGAACACCAGATTTGAGAAACTAAGAGGTTTAGCACTTTCCTTATGGAAAATCTAGGCATGCTACAATTTAAAGTTTTAATTACTAGAGCATAAAATGAGAACAAAAAATAGTAGAGCAGCAAAGGCAAGTCAAATAGACAAGAGCCTTCTTACTAATATCAAGGGTCACATACCTACATTGAAGGAATTAAAACTTACTGCTTTAAAATTGATTGCAAGACTAAACTATGTCTTTCTATATTCTACACACTGAGTATCCCTAAAACAAAAATCCAAAATCCGAAATGCTCCAAAATCTGAAACTTTTTGAGCACCAACATAACTTTCAAAGGAACATGCTCACTGGAGCATTCTGGATTTCAGATTTTTGGATTAGGGATGCTCAGTTGGTAAGTATACCGCAAATATTCCAAAATCCAAAATACTTCTGTGGTGCCAAGGGTTTCGGATTAAGAGATAATCACCCAGTATATACTCTTTCTAAAAGCATAATAAAAATTTTATCTACATAAGATGCTATGCCCTATAGTTATGAGTATAGAATAACCACCTTAATTCTAATAAAGATCCTAACAAACAGTTTTGAGGCATAACAAATTCTAAAAAATTCTATCACTGTTTTCGAATCTACCTACATGAGAGGAAGAGAGACTAACCCTTGGTAATGGTGCTGCATTGACTACGTGGTTATGGCTGCAGAAGTAGAACTGCGAAGGGTTAAAAAATCTTAAAAGAAAATGAGTGAGAGAGTCAAAGGTAAAAACAAAAAGGACTAACACCACGATAAAACACTGTGATTTTAAGTGTCAGGGTAATATTAGCAGATGGAACACAGAATTAGAGAAATTTAGAGTTAAAAAAAAATTTAAAGATCACCTAAATACATTCCTCTGGTCCAAAAGACATACTTACCATAATGGTACCAACAGAAGTTGGTTCTATCACTAGAACAAAAAGAACAGTATAAAAGTGACAGAGCAAATATGGGTGAGTTCAAAAAGAAGAGTTTCATTTGAAGTTAACAGGCCAGATCTGAGTCCCCTTATAAGGAGGCACCCAGTGAACCATAAGCATGTTTAATTACCAAAAGGTAATTAAAGGTAGAAAACAAGACAAACTACAAAAACAAAAAACAACAAAAAAAGCACAACTCCAAGAATTAGAGATCATACTATAGGAAGGGCCTTGCTGACTATAAGAATGAATCCAAATGAGTATAGAAGATACAGACTGATGCCTTATTAGGCTGCTTTACTATTGTTAACAATATTCATCCAAAAAATAATTGTTGTCCAGCTAACAGAACAGCACAAGTCTGCATCTCTAACAGTCTAGCTCAAGGTCTTTTCTCTACTTTTCCAGCCAACTGATAAACATGTTTTATTTAAGAGAAAGATAGAGGTAAAAGTAAAATAGGCCCAAATGAGTACCCTAGAGCAAATGCTGGAAGATTTCCCCGAACTTCTTTAAATGGTGTCAAATTAGCTTTAACAAAACAAAATGGCAATGGTGGAACAGCCAAAACATTTTCTTTGGGGACGACCCTAGGTCCCATGCTTTCAATCCAAAAACAGTAGCTGGAGTCACATTTGCCCATGTTATGGATTTTAAGAAGGACACAGATGCACACCATGTCCCTACACAAGCTGAGGAAGAATTTCAAGTATATAATCTAATATGGAATAAATGTTATTATTAAAAGTATTTTTGTAAGTTTGACATTTTTAGCCAGAACAACATACAATAGTATGTCTTTGCAAGGATCAGGGGTAGTTACTGTAAAAACTCACCAATTATAAAAGATCAAGTTACAGCTAGGAATCAAATGCTCCTATACTTAAGCAACTTGAGCCCAAAGTCATTCGGTGATATGACTTCCCATGAGCACACATCACATTACTATTTTATGACAACAGGGGGCAATGATGGCATGAGTCTTTTACAAACATCATTTCAAAAACTAGCTTTAAAAAATACTCATCATTCATGGCAACACAGATGAGCTGGAGCACATGTTGCATGTAATAAGTCAGGCACAGAAAGATAAATTCCACACTCATATCTGGAAGCTAATAGAATACAGAGTAGAATTTTGGTTACTAGAGGCTGGGAACAGCAGGAGGGAGGGGAGAATAGGGAGAAGTTGGTTAATGCATACAAAATTACATCTTCATAGAAAGAATAAATTCTAGTGTTCTATAGCACTGTAGGGTGAATACAGTTAACAATAATTTATTGTATATTTTCAAAAAGCTTAAAGAGTGGATTTTTAATGCTCCCAATACAGAGAAATGATCAATGTTTGAGGTGATGGATATACTAATTACCCTGATTTGATCATTATACATTACATGCATGTGTTGGGAAACATCACTCTGTATCCTATAAATACGTACAATTATTATTTTTTAACTAAAATAAAAGGGAAAAATACTCATCAGATGGAGAGATTAGTAGCTAAGAGACTTTTTAAACAATTCAAATTTCATCAGATATGTTTTTAATTCCGCATGAAACATTATACATAATTATGGAAAATCTCAGTATCTGACAGTACATCTTTGGAAAATAACCCTTACAAATAAAAAAACATATTCTGTACTAAAAATAAACTGTGTACACGTTTCAAATGACATGGTATTACTTGTCTTCTGAATTCCATCTGCTGCCACCTCAGATGGCTTTCCACGCCTACATCACTAATTCTTCCCTCTATAACTGGATTATTTCTGACCAATATATTAACACATCTTAGTGTCTCATCTAAAAAGCAAACCAACCAAAAAAAAACCTCTCCTGACCCACCAACCCTTCAGCTACTGCCCTACTTTTCTGCTCCCTTTCCCAGGAAAGCTGCTCGTCTAAGTTACATGCAGTCGGCAGAGTTGCTGTCTTAATGTCATTATGTCCATTCTCCTTATTTTAAAATTTAGTGTTTATTTTCACCCAGGTACACATGTATGAAGTTTAAAGAATCCAAACAGTTTTATAAGACTTACTAAAAAATCAGAAGTCCTCTGATCCCCATTTCCCACTTTTAACCACTTTTATTTTTTTCACTGTTTTAGTATTTAACTCCCGATCTCTAATATCTTTTATTTTGTCACTTCTTGATTCTTTTAGCTTTAGGTGGGGTGCCTTGACAGTCCCAATTTATTCAAGTTATCCCAATGTAATTGGTTAAAAGTGTCCCCTTTTGCTCTCAGAAATATCTTGTTTTCTATCTAGTGAATTCCACTAAGAAAAATAAGAATTTAGATCTCTTTGATTCCCTAACCCTTACCTCACATGCACGCACACTTCTACAATTTCCCAATATCATAATTTTGGATGGGAGGCTATATTCAGATTTAACATTGTTATTATTTTGTAAATGCAATTCACAACTGAGCCACACAGTACACCACAAGTATGTTCCCTTTCTGAGCAGTTTTCCCTAGAATTACTATTTTATTTGTTCACCTAAGTTCTGTGTATACTTATTACCAATTCAGCTACAAACTCTTCCCTGTCTAAATCTACTCTCTATGACTTGAAATACAAAACACATTCTACCAAATTTCACCTTTTCACAGCTACTTCTCTTGAAATCTTCTAACGTGTTTCCACTGGGACTGGATGCTATCCACTACACCTGGTGACCAGCTGTCATCTTGTGATCACTATTCACCATCATCCTGGTATTAATAAGTCCCTGGATGATGGTGAATAGTGGTGAATTCCTTTTAACTAAGTTGCATTCCCTGTCACTTGTATCCTATGTTTTCATCTTTTTTAGTTTACTTCTTTATTTTTGTTAAGTTCTTCCTATAATAACTGCCTAAGAAAGAGGGCAGGGCAGGTAAATCCTTTAAGATCTCACAAGTCTGAAACTGTCATTAGGCTATTCTTAATCAACAGTTTAGTTGGGTACTGAATTACTAGGTTGGAAATCATTTTCCCCTCAGAATTTTGAAAGCTCCATTGTCTACTAGTTTCCAGTGTGGTGTCAAGAAGTCCAAAGCCATTCTGATTACTGATTCTTTATATGTGACCTATTATTTCTTTTACTCTGAAAACTCCTCTGGTGTTCTAAAATTTAACAGTAATGTGTCCCATTTTGGGTTTATTTTTATAACTGTATTGGTCACTCAACAGGCTCTTTCTAACTGGAAACTCACATCCCCTAATTCTGGAGAGTTTTCTTGAATTCTCTGTTTTCCCCCTCTATTTATTCTTTCTTTCTGGAACTCCAATTATTTGAACACTAGAGATCCTAGACTTGCTCTAATTTTTTTTCTCTCCCATTTCCATCTGTTTCTTTTTCAATATATCAGTTTTATTTTTCAATCCTTTGATTGAGTTGTTTACGTCCAATTTCATTTCTTATTGTTTCTGTTTCATGGATATAACATCTGGTCTTACCTTTCTGAAAGGTCTGTGTTTGTATTAGTTTTTACCCAGTTCTCCCAACTTAGTATTTTCTTTTGGTTTGGTTTTGGTCTCTCACATAAGAGGTTCTCAACAGATGTCTAGTGATCCCTGGTCATAAGCTCATATGTAAAGGCGGAACACTAAAAAGATCACTGGAGGCTCTGTGTGATAGGGGGCTAGCAGACTTGACTTTATTGCAGGATTATCAGGTTGAAATATTTCTTTGAGGAATTCTCAATGTCAGTATCTTCAGATCTTCTCTCTTAGGCTGGCTAAAATTCACAGAAAAAAAATCTCAACTCTTGCCTGAATAGCATAAAAACCTGGGTTCATAATACCCCTCAAAGTTACCTCCATTCTCAGCTATGCTTGTTGCTTTATTTTATCCTTGCTAGAGAATAAATCTCAGACTTCTGCTAAGACAGGGAAGGAGCAGTTGCCTTGGTTCCAAAGTTAGGAAAAGGACCTATGGAGTATAATCACCTCTTAAATGGATTTGCCATGAATCATCCAGTCTTACCATCACTCCAATTTACAGAAGAGTGCTTTTAAATTCATGGGAATTTTAGAGGGTCTACAGTGTCAAGAAGTTTGTTTCTCAGCTTTCCCACAGGAGCCTCAGGATTACAGGATTGCAAGAAAGTTATTATACTTTCTTTTGCTTTTCAGGTTCCAAAATTTTGTTGCTATTGTTTCCTCTCCCATTCTCCTAGTCTTTGCGAAAATTTTGCCTTTTGTAAAAATCCTTTTACTTTAGCTTTACTGAGGTTTCGAGAAGAAATGAAATGTAATTGCATTCTATATCCCATCTATAACTGGAAGTCCCTCATTTTCTTTCCTCATCACTCTAAATTCATCCCTACCACTCCACTGAAATTACTCACTCTTACTAGATTAAGAGGAGTTATCAGAAATCTTCATGTTGCCAAATGTAATGGCTGCTTTACTCTCTATTTTGACTTCTTAGTAATATGTGATATAGATGACCACTTCTGCATTTATTGAATACTTTCCTCGCTTGGTTTCTGTGACAGAAAAGTTTCCTGCTTTTCCACTCGTCTCACTGGGTGTTCCTTCTCTGATTAATACTGGCATGTGCCAAGGCTGAATGCTTCTCAATCTGTGCATACACTTCCTAGAAAATATCATCCAGACACATGACTCTCAAATCCATATCCCTAGACTAGACCTTGAAATGCAGAGTAATATATCCAACTGCCTTTTTGACACTGCTCCAGATTTTACAGGTATCCAAAATATCATATAGTCAAAACATAAACACAACTTTCTTCTGTAAATTTACTTTTCTCCCAGATTTCCTTCCCAACCTGATCTCCATATACTCTCCCCATAATTTACTATACTCCAATCACATCTGCTCTGTTCCTCAGGCATTCCATCATTATTCTTGTCCCCACTGCCTATAAGGCTCTTCCCTCAGATCTCCACACGCCTGACACCTCTTCCCATTCAGATCTCAACCAAAATGCAGTTGCTAGTCTCTATCACATTATCCATTTTAAATCTTTGCATAATACCGCAAATTTCTCATTTATTTGATTAGTTGTCTTGCTCTAGAATGCAATCCTCATAAGAGCAGGGACAGCTTCTGTCTTGTTCATAAGAGCAGGGACAGCTTCTGTCTTGTTCACTGTATTCTTAGTATCTAAAATATCTCAACACAGGTGGTATTCAATGTTTTGTGATAAATTAATATAAAAGGAAAATTTTTAAATAAAAGTTTCCTCAAGTCAGTCTGTCAAAATAGTTCACAGATTCTTTTATATGTTTTTCAGGAAAAATATTCTATGATGCATTCTAAGATGCACCTTTCTTTACCTTTTGTACTTTTTGGATCTTTTGCACTGATTCTTCAGAAAACTGTAAGTTCAGGGTATTCTTCTATATGACCATCCATTAGTCTCAGAATTCTGTTTAAACAAGAAAAAAATATTAGATTTATTCAACTTATAAAAAAGTTTATCATGAAAAAGGCTTTTAAATTAATTTTTAAACATAATCAAATTTAGAACTGTCACAAAATATATAACAAATTTTAAGTTCTACAAATTGTTTCTAAAAGAAAACAAAATAATTTAAAATCACAAATAAACCAACACAAACTTTTAATTCTAGTATCGAAATTAAAATACAAAAGTATGAAAACAATAACTATAAAATATATTAATGAATATACAATATAAAAAATAATTTGTGACATGAATAATAAAGTGGGGGGCTAAAGGAGAATTTTATATATGCAACTGCAGTTGTTATCAGCTTAAATAAATTATAATAACTATAATATGTTTTGTAAATAAGCTTGTGGTAATCACAAACAAAATACTTAGAGGATTCACAAAAGAAAATGAGAAATGAATTAAAGCATAACATACATATAAATCAATGTAACATAAAGAAAAATAGCAAGCCAGGAGAAGAGGAGCAAAAGAGCTACAAGACAGAAAACAAACCGTTCCCTATCAGTAACTACTTTAAATGTAAATGGGTTAAACTTCACAATCAAAACACATAGAGGGACTGAACAGATTAAAAAAAACAAGATTCAACTATATGTTGTCTATAAGAGACTAACTTCGGATTTAAAAATACACACAGGCTGAAGGTGAAAGAACGGAAAAAGATATTCCATGCAAATGGTAACCAAACGAGACATGAGTGGCCATACACTCATGTCTAAATAGACTAAATAGACTTTAAGTCAAATACTGTCACTAGAGACAAAGAAGGACATTATATTATACAATAATAAAAGGGTCAATTCACTAGGAGGAACAGCAATTAGAAATATGTATATATGTACCTAACCTCAGAGCAAACATCAACAGAAGTGAAGGGTGAAATGGAAACACAACAGTAGCAGCACAATACCCCACTTTCAATACAGGAAAGATCATCGGACAGAAAATCAGTAAGGAAAGAGCAGACTTGAACAACACTACAGTTCAGTCACCTGTCAGTATCTGAGGGGGACTGCTTCCAGAACACCCCTCAAGTATCAAAATCCACAGATACTCAAATCCCTTATATAAAATGGCATATATTTGCATATAACCTAAACGCCCCTCCTATATACTTTAAATAATCTCTAGATTACTTATAATGACTAATACAACGTAAATGCTATGTGACCAGTTGATACACTGTATTAGTTTTTTTTTTTTGTATTATTTGTTATTGTCCCCACCCACTCCAAATATTTTCATCCACAGTTGGTTGAACTGCAGATACAGAAGCCGTGGATAAAAGGGGCCAACTGTATAAACCAAATGGACCTAACAGACATACAGAACATTTCACCCGACAATAGCAGAATACATGTTCTTCTCAAGTACACACAGAACATTATCTAGAACAAATCACATAATAGATCACAAAACAAATTTTAACAAATTTAAAAACACTGAAATCATACCAAGTATCTTCTTTGACCACAATAAAATGAAAATAGAAAATATCAGAAGGAAAACTGGAGAATTCACAAAGAGATGAAAACTAACCAGCATACTTTTGAAAACCAAAGAATCAAGAAAGAATTCAAAAGGAAAATCAGAAAATATTTTGAGACAAACAAAAATGAAGACAAAACACACCAACATTTATGGGATAGAGCAAAAGTAGTCCAAGAGGGAAGTTTATAAAAGTAGATGCCCACATTAAAAATAAAGAAAGATCTCAAACAACCTAACTTTACTTCTCAAGGAACTAGAAAAAGAAGAACAAACTGGTCCACAGTTAGCAGAAGGAAGGAAATAATAAAAGACCAGAACATAAATTAAAAAATTGCAAATAGAAAAAAACACAACTAAGCGTTGTCTTTCTTGAAAAGATCAACAAAATTGACAAACCTTTAGCTACACTAAGAAAAAAAAGAGAGAAGCCTCAAATACAGAAACGAAAGGGGAGACATTACAACTGATGCTACAGAAAAAGTATTATAAGAGATTAGCATAATAATTATTAACATATACCAACAAACTGGATAACCCAGAAGAAATGAATAAATTCCTAGAAATATATAACCTACCAAGACTAGATACAAAGAAATAAAAACTTTGAACCCTACAACTTATAAGTATAGTGGATCAGTAATCAAAAATCTCCCAACAAAGAAAAGATCAGGACCCTAATACATTGCTTCACTGAAGAATTCTACCAAACATTTAAAGAAGAATTAACACCGATCCTTCTCAAATCCTTCCAAAGAACTGAAAAGGAAACCCTTTAAAACTCATCCCAAGAGGACAGCATCATGCTGATACTAAAGCCAAAGACATCACAAGAAAAAAATAAGGCCAACATACCTGATGAATATTGATAAAAAATCCTCAACAAAATACTAGCAAATCAAATTCAACAGCACATTAAAAGTATCACACAACATGACAAAGTGGAATTTATCCGTGGGATTAAAGCATGATTCAAAATACACAATCAATGTGAAACGCCACATTAACACACGAAGGACAAAAATCACATGATTATCTCAATGGATATAGAAAAGCATTTGACAAAACTCAATACCCTTTCCTGATAAAAACACTCAACAAATTAGGAATAGAAGGATTTACAAACTAGGAATATAAGAAATTTCCCTTTCTTAAAAAACAAAAATTGGTAAGATATATCAATAGCTTGAAAATATTTAAGCCCCTATGCCCAGTAATTTCACTTTGAGAAATAGAAAATAATCAGAGATGTATCCAAACTTTTATATTCATTTAAAAATAGGAAACCTAGAATTTAAAAATATTAAAGCTAGAAAGAATTTAAATGTTCAATTGCAGTAACAGTGGCATCAAAATATATCAAACACAAACTCAAATATACCAAAAGTATCAACTGTGCTTGTTTCTAATTATTACTAGTTCATGGATAATGTTTTCTATTTTTTATCTCAGAATATTATGGGGGTACAAATGTTTTGGTCACATGGATTGCTTTTGTACTGCTTGAGACAGAGTTGTAAGTGTGCCCATCACCCAGATAGTGTACACTGTACCCATTAGGTATGACTTTACCCAAACCCTCCTCTTCCTTCCCACCTGCTTTATTTCCTTTTGAGTTTTACCTCCTATTGTGCACATGAATGATGTTTGGTTAATTCCAATTTAACAGTGAGTACATGTGGTGTTTGTTTTTCCATTCTTGCAACACTTCACTTAGCAGAATAGTTTCCAGTTCCAGCTAGATTGTTACAAAAGATACTGGATCACCGTTTTATGGCTCAGTATATAATACCACATTTTATTAACCCATTCATGAACTGATGGATATCTGGGTTGATTCTACATCTTTATGACTGTGAATTGTGCTGCATTAAACATTTGAGTGCAAATGTCTTTTTGATAAAATGACTTTTTTTCCTTTGGGTAAATACCAAGTAGTGGGATGCGGGATCAAATGGTAGGTCTACTTTTAGTTCTTTCAAGAATCCCCATACTGTTTTCCAAAGAGGTTGTACTAGTTTGCAGTCAGACAGTGTATAGTGTTCCTTTCTCCCAACATCCACGCCAGCATATACTGTTTGGAGACTTTTTGATAAAAGCCATTCTCACTGGAGTTAAGTGATATCTCACTATACTTTTAATTTGCATTTCTCTGACAAATAGTGACTCTGAACATTTTTCATGTTAATTGGCCATTAGTCTCTCTTCTTTTCAAAAGCTTCTGTTCATGTCTTTTGCCCACTTTTTAATGGGGTTGTGTGATTTTTTTTTCTTCTTGTTGATTTGCTAGAGTTCTTCGTAGATTCTGGTTATTAAATCTTTATTGGATGTATAGCATGCAAATATTTTCTTCCATTCTGTGGGTTGTCTACTCACTCTGTTGACTGTTTGCTTGGCTTTGCAGAAGCTTTTCAATTTAATCAAGTACCATTTGTTAATTTTTCATGTTGTTGTGACGGCCATTGGGGTCTTCTTCATAAATTCTTGCCTAGGCCAGTATCTAGAAGTTTTTCCAACATTTTCTTCTGGAATTCTTATGGTTTCATGTCTTAGGTTTAAATCTGTTATCCATATTGAATTAATTTTAGTGAGTGGTGAGAGATATGGACCCTGTTTCAATCTTCTACACATGGTGATCCAATTTTCCCAGCACCATTTATCGAATATGGATTCTTTTCCCCAGTGTATATTCTTGTCTGCTTTGTCCAAGATCAGATGGCAATATACGGATGGTTTTATATCTGGGTTCTCTGTTGTGTTCCATTGGTCTATGTCTCTATTTTTGTTACAGTACCATGATGCTTTAGTTACAATAGCCATGCAGTATAGTTTAAAATATAGTAAAGTGATACCTCCAGATTTGTTCCTTTTGCTTTGACTATTCAGGCTCTTTTCTGGTTCCAAATGGACCACAGAATTATTTTTCCTAGATCTGCAAAAAATGACATTGGTATTTTGATGAGAATTGCACTGAATCTGTAAATCACTTCGGGTAGTATAGACATTTTAACAATGTTGATTCTGCCAATCAATGAGCATGATGTTTTTTCCACTTATTTAACATCATCTGCAATTTCCTTCCTCAGTGATTCGTAGTTCTATTTGTTGAGATCTTTCACCTCCTTGGTTAAATATATTCTTAGGTATTTTATGTTCTTTGTAGCTATTGGGAAAAGTATAGAGTCTTGAATTCTCAGCTTGACTGCTGCTGATGTATAAAAATGCTACTGATCTGTGATTTTGTAACCTGACACTTTCCTGAATTTACCAATTCTAAGAGCCTCTTGGCGGAATCTTTGGGGTTTTCTAGATATATGGTCATATCACCAGCAAAGAGTGATAGTTTGTCCTCCTCTTTCTCCATTTGGATGCCCCTGATTTCCTTTTCTTGTCTGACTGCTCTGGCTAGGACTTCCAGCACTATGTTGAATAGAAGTGGTAACGGTGGACATCGCCTTGTT